CTATTATATATTTACCATCAAAGACATGGCGGGAGAGAATCGAGGGTGGCCATTGGGCCAACTTGGCACGGTAAGGGGGCCTTGGGAAGATCACGGCCATCCTGCAGGACCCTGTGCCGTGACACCTACATATAATTCTCCGGTGTCAGTTTAGCCAGCTGTAAAATGAGGATATAACTACCTTTAATACCTCACAATAGTATTTGGAGACTTAATGTTATCAATAATGCTATATACCTTTTTATCAGTATAATCCGCATGTGTTGGAAGGCTGTAAATACTTAGGAAGAAAGGAACTGCCAAGGAAAACAATACATTATAGGGTAGCAAAGGAATGGGAAATGATACCTAGACTGAAAACAGTAACATTCCCCAGTGACAGCTACTAGATTGTCGGAAGAGTCTCCTTGCAGCATTCAGAGAAGTCCTAATGCCTGAGTCACTTGAATGATAAACAGATTAGAGACTCATGAATATAACGAAGGAAGGAAACAATCCTGCACCTGAGGATGACATAATGTATCTGTCATCTGAGATTTTTATTGTTTTACATCTATTCCAAGACATGTAGAGTTAAAACACAGACAAACATATCCCATCATAATTATACACGGTTGTGGAAATCTTGTTCTGGAGAATCAAGTTTTGTAATTTTTACTGGGATTAAAAAAAAAAAAAAAAATACTTAAACAGCTTTTTTTCTGGTCTTTTCAATTTCATTAAAGATTCTTCTAAGAAATCCTGCTAGACAACAAGCAAAAGGAAAGGCAGGAACCTTCATTATTCAGCATTATGTCTATTTCAGCAGCTCCCATATTTAGTCATCTCTGTACTAGCTGAGTAATTTTTTTTTGTTTACACAGGAAAAAACCCTTAGCTGTGATCAAATCACTGCATCATATCCGTCCAACAACCGTAACTCACGTTTCTTAGCTAATAAGTCTGAAATCATTCAGCGAAAAAAAAATCTAGCTGCTTGTCTAGGTCTGGAACAGTATGTGTAATATAAGCCTACTACAATTATAAAATGCTGATGCAATGTTAACAACGTACTGAAACTGTTTAACTTTGCTGACGTTCTGTTAACTGCTAACACAGTACTGTTTGATGTCATGGGCATTCAGTCACTGACAA